CAATCTGAATCTGAGAAACCCCGAAGCTCCAAGTCCCCGGGTCGAATGAGTAAACCACGACCAAGAGTGCCAAAAATGTACCTGAGAATGCGTTTTAGACAATGGTAATCATGTTCACTTGGTTGATGCATGCGCTGAGCAACTCGGTTGACAGCAAACTGGATGTCAGGACGGGTAATGGCCAGATACTGTAGAGCACCAATGAGGCTGCGGAAGTGGGTGACATCGGCAAAGAGGGTGTCGGCTCCATTCGTAGAAGAAGAGACTGCCATCGGTGTTGCTTGACTGGTGCATTTTTTCAGTCCAGCTTTCTGCAACAGATCTCGAGCATATTTTGACTAATGAAGAAACAAGCCGCTGCCTGTCCGAGAAACCTCAATTCCCAGAAAATAATGTAACGGGCCAAGGTCCTTCATTTTGAAGGTAGTATGCATAGATCGAGTGACATCCTGAATGAGAGCTGCAGTAGATCCTGTAATAATGATATCATCTACATAGACAAGAAGAATGACTGTACCGTGTGCTGAATGTCGAGTAAACAGACTCGTGTCGTGTACACAACACGTGAAGCCGAGTCCCTGGAGGAACGTTTTCAGACGTGTGTACCAAGCACGGGGGGATTGCTTGAGCCCATACATAGACTTCTGGAGTTTGCAAACATGTTGAGGGAAGCGAGGATCAACATAGCCCGGTGGTTGCGTCATGTAGATAGTTTCATCAAGCATGCCATGAAGAAAAGCATTGGAAACATCCAACTGATTGATGAGCCAATTGTTGCGCACGGCGAGTGACAGTACCAGGTGAATGGTTTCCTGTCGAATAACAGGACTGAATGTCTCGGAGTAATCAAGCCCATACTCCTGATTGTAGCCTTTAGCAACCAAACGAGCCTTGTACCTGGAAATACTGCCATCTGCATTGTGTTTAATTTTGTACACCCATTTACAACCCACTGGGTGCCGCCCATGGGGCTTAGGTACAAGGACCCAAGTTTTCTAATCAGTCAAAGCCTTAAACTCGTCATCCATAGCATGACGCCAATAAGCATTTTTTGAGGCAACAGAGTAGGTTGTTGGTTCACTATCGGGAAGGGGTGTATTTGGTAGTATGGTAGCCTGAAAGGTTTTAGGTTTAAAGATACCGGCTTTGCCACGGGTTAACATGGGATGAGTATTGGGGGGTGGCACGGGTGGTGGTGATTCGGGGGTGGCCGGGAAGGACCCAAAACGGATCGGGCTTGAGATGTTGTGGGTATGGGGTGGTTCGGGTTTGTTGTGAGTGTGGGTGGTGATTGTGGGTGTATTGTGGGTGACGGTCGAAGGGGTGATGAAGGGTGGTTGGGTAGTGGGTGGAGGTGTGGGGGAAGGTGGTGAGGGACCCTGTGAGTATGTTGGAAAAAGGAGAAGGACGCCAATGAATGATGTATTTGTGGAGGAGGAAATAGACTCGTAGGGAAACTCATTTTCGACAAATTTGACATGACGAGATATGTAGACTTTATGAGTTTGTGGGTCAAGACAGCGATAACCCTTGGAGGTAGGATGATAGCCCAAAAAAATACAAGGACGGGATCGGGGTTGTAATTTGTGAGTAATATGAGGGCATAGACAAGGGTAGGCAAGACATCCAAAGACGCAGAAGTTGGTATAATTGGGAAGTTCTTGGTAAAGGAGTTGGTAGGGTGATTTGTTGGAGAGAGTGTGACTGAGCATTCTGTTATGAGGTAGTTTGCGGTGGCTAGAGCTTCTACCCAAAAGGAGACAGGGAGATGAGATTGATGTAGAAGAGTAACCACCGTTTCAATGAGATGGCGATGCTTACGCTCAGCCACCCCATTCTGTTCGGGAGTGTATGGACAAGAGGTTTGATGTATAATTCCCAGGGATTGCAGAAATTGGCCAAAGATGTTATTGACATATTCCTTTCCATTGTCACTTCGAAAAAGTTTAACATGAGAATTGAATTGTGTTTTGACCATTTTTTCAAAAGTGACTAAGGTGGTGTATGCCTGTGATTTGTGTTTTAGTGGGTACAACCAAGTGTATTTTGTAAAATCATCCACAAAATAAATATAATAGCGAAAACCAGCAAATGAAGGAACAGCAGTAGGACCCCATAGGTTAGAATGAATAAGGAATATTGATTGTATTGAAGTGTTAACCTAAAAAGGGAATACATGAGAGATCTATATATGATATATAGGAAGGATTACTAATCCTAATAGGACTAGGATTAAGGAGTACTAATCCTAATAGGACTAGGATTAGTACACAACAAATACTAATATTATTTAATACTATTTATTTAATACTATCTGTTATTATTTTCAAAAGATGTCTTCAAGTTGGAAGACTTGTACATTTTTGGTTTCAAATTTTTTTAATGTGTTAGTGGCTTCTTATAAAGCATGATGATTATCGAGAATCTCAAAAAAAATAAAATAATCGAGAGGCATTTGATATGAGTGAGCTTAAAACTGGCAGAGGCTTGCATGAAGAAGTTGATATTTCTAGAGCTTGCGACAGTCGTTAGGGATCACTTCAAATATGTTAGCTATTTTATTCTCAAGTTTAGTATAATTATGTACATTATTAATTCTATTATTGAAATTGCACATTCTGTGGATAAAAGAAAAATCGCCCAAACATGTGAAGTTGTATTCTTATTGCATTTGATGTAATAAGTTTTAGGAATCACTAATGACTTTAGTACATTTTTTTTAAAAAAGGAGCATGACATTGCAAATGTCATGCTACTTGTTAAAGTCGTCAAGAGAAGGCTACTACAATCGAGGGAAAATGAAAGATGAGATTATTGTATCAAATATAATATTGTGGTACTTGATTTTGATGAATCGTATGTTAATTTTGGAAGATCGTGACGTAAATCTATTGATTATAGTATTTTGTAAAATAATTGATTGACAATTGGAAGAACTCAATGATAGTTTTGGTGAGTAACAACTGAGTTGCTTTATGGAGTTCCTTGTTTGAATTCGGTAGACTTTTTTATTCAAGTTTTGATATAAAAAATTAACGAATGCCTGAATTATATCCTGATGACTTTGATCATGAACTTAGCATATGTGTACTTGAGAATCAACTTACAAATTACATTATTTATGTCTGTGATATCTATAAAAGGTTCTCCGATTTACATGAGTTTTGTGATCTTTCGAAAAGATTGGTTCAGACAAAAAAGCATTCATGTTATCCTCTTGTATTTCATTTCGTGAAATTTGCTTTTGCCAGTTGTCACTGCATCCATTGAAAGAGCTTTTTCGAGAACGAAATTTATTAAGATTGAATGAATGATGAGGTCTTGAACGGTTGAATGGTTCCTTTTATGGAAAAGGATGTGTTTAATGATGTTTCAATGGATGATATTATTTTATCTTTTTAAGCAATGAAATCTCGCTGAATAATATAGTAAAGGTGCTTGAAAAGTATTAGCACTAACCTCTTTCTAGAGTTTGTAGTTAGCACTCTAGTCCTTGAGTGCGACATAATGAAGTGCTAATATTATTGGTCTAGTTAGCACAATTTTTTGCTCTACTTAGCATTCTAGTTCTAGATTGACACATTGTGAAGGGATAACTTTTTGTTTTAATATAATCACTCATGTTAGTTTTCAAATCTCTTTTAAAGAAATTAACCTTTGTACCTATAAATTATATACTATTATTTTTTTGAAATTTTATTTTGTTGGCTTATTTACACATTTATACTTTTAATTTTCATATTTTGATTATTTGGTGATTTAAAGTTGATTTAACAATGATTAAGTAGTGTTATAATGGGAGTGTTTTTATAGTGGATTGTGACAGTGAGATTCAAAGAGATTTTGGAGAAATCAAAGATAGAGAAGAAAAGGAAAAGAGAAAATAAGTAAGAGTCAAATAATGAACATTACGTGATAAATTAAAATTGCTGCGTGATTTGCTCTTACCTTATCATAACTCAAACTGATCGATATATACTATTTTAAAATAGTTAAAGGGGTAATAAGACCCTACAAATTAGATGTCTACTTAAAAAACATGTATATGTTAAGGGAGGACTTTATGTGTTTTCTTTGTTTATCATGCCTTTTTTTTTAAAATTATTATACCTTATTTAGAGCTATTTTTTTTTCTTGTATGAAAAAAATAAATAAGATTTCGGGTGTGTTTGGTATGAAGGAAAATGTATTTCTTGACTCGAAAAAACAAATATATTTTTGGTTTATTTTTTCATAAAAATAAATTATAAATTATTTTTTTTTAGGGGGGGATATGGCGGGGAGGGGGTAGGCTGGCTTAGAAAAATAAAAAAATGAAGTTGAAAGTATTTTTAAAATAAGCTTGTTGTGCGGAATTTGAGATAATACGAGAAAATATAAACGCGAAAAACAAGATAACAGATTTACGTGATTCACCAATAAATTGGCTACGTCCACGGGAAGAGAGGGAGCAGTTTTATTATGGAGAGGCAAAAAACAGAATTACAGAATAGGGTTTCCCATAGCGTCTATATATAGTGCTAAGCTACGCCCTAACAGGCTTGGGCCCAACATACAGAATCAACAGAAAATTAAGGGCCCAATACAACAACATTGTATACCGTCGGGCCGGGGGCGTCTCCGCCCCCCCGGACCCCAGGCCAGGGGGCGCGTCGCCCCCCTGGACCCCCCGACTCGCTGACCGGGCAGCGAGACCCCCGTCCTTTCTGTTTGTAGCGGGTCCGATTCAAGGCATTCAACAAAGCTTTAAATATATTTTTCAAATAAAAACAATTGTAATTTTTTATTGGGTGAGAATTTTGAAAAATGTCTTTTTATTTTTTAAGGATAAGTCATTTCCTCGAAAAATATGTTTTTGAGAAAGCATTTAACCCACCAAACATCGGTAAATGTTTCCTTTCATAGCAAACACACCCTTGGTTTCTTTCTCCCATTACTGCCCTATTGCTGTTCAAATCCTTTTTTCATGGATAGGGTAAAATAGTGAATGAAGAGAAGCCTTTCACATGAAACATAAATAACATATAAGAGTACATAAATAGTTGTCCATTTATAGCATGGTCTTTATGAAAATAAAATAAATATAGTTATTGTTTGTCAATAGCAAGAAGCAGCTCTAAGTGATGACAAATCATCAAATGGACGAAGTTAACTACTGCTATATTGGTTGCTCATTGGTAAGAGTCGTGGCGTTGGGTGGCTCACACCATTTACCATCAGACTCTGAAGGTTCAATAACGACTACTCCACCGTCGTTTAAACCCAAAGCTAACTGGTTTGGATTTTCAGGATGAGCAGCAACCACCACAGGGAACACATGAGCACTGCAACTTGAATAGTAAAATGACTAGTGAATACAAAAACCAGTTGAGGAGTACTCCGATAAACTATAAATTAAAGCACATCGAATTATTGATTACCTCAAATCAGAAGTGAGGAAAGTAGAAGGATCAATCTCATATTTGGGAGAGAGATCTGAAGCAGAGAGTATCAAAACGATCCCATCTTTCATAACAGCATATATCCACTCACTATCACATGAAAATGTTGCATGTGAAATTCGCGCACAGAAGTTTTTGATTATCCACTGTCAAATAAAATAAAATAAAATTTGTAAATTATTGTTGATATGGACAGACAACAGTATGCATGGTTTTCTTTTTACTACTATAATAGGAGCCAGGGAGCACCTGCTTCACACATTCTAGCTTTGTTGGTTCATAGATTGCAATTTGAGTCTCATGTACAACAAGGAAGCATTTCTCATCTCGCTGAAATTCGACAGATGTCTCTGATACTTCTGTTGGTAACCAGTCTGCAGATGTCTGCAACATTGTACTTCCTTCCCTCTCCCAGTTTGTTGAATTCCACACCACTATCTGGAAAAGTAAAGAAGAAGACGGCTGTTAGCCGGTTCATTCAAGTAAAAGAGTTGATACTAAAAAGACTACCAATCATTTATCGCAAAGGAAACAACTTGGAAGCAATTATTGCAGGTGTGTAGGTTACCCATCCATGCTGCTTTTGCTTTCCATCCAATACGAAAAACAAATTAGGGCTTAGAGGTCTAACTTATCAAATACGACACAAAATGTGCTATTAGATACTTCAAAGTTAACTTGTGTAACATATAGCAAACCAATTGTCAACTTCTTTCTAATGGTGAAAGAAAGAACCTGAGAGTCTGCTCCTGAAGAAACAAGCACATTCATTGTGTTAGAGAATGCTAGTCCAGTAATCCTTTTAGAGTGTCCATTAAGCCTGCTTATTAACTGAAAAATGAAATGAAAAAAAAATCAACTTCGGCACGTATTTGACACTTTCCTCAAAAGAAAGCGGGAGGCAAATATGACACCTCCTCCGTACGGACACTGTAGACAATGATTGTCAAATCATCCATCCCAACAGCAATCACATTGTTATTAGTCGGGTGGCAAGCGATACATGTTGCTGCAGGTTTAGGAGGTGTGATACTTTTCATAATCTGCATTTATCAAGAACAAGAAGGAACGGTTAATGTAACCAATATACAGTAACTAATTAACATGATTTGATTACTTCAATTAGGAACAGAAGGAAACTTTCATGGCCAGAGGAATGGATATAGAGAGGTAGAAGCATTTCATTATGCAGCGCATAAACTTCATTTTCTTGTAATCACCTTATAGAGGTTTATATTAAATATAGAAACCGCTCCTCCGGATGCCGAAAGTGCATAAAAACCATTATTGGTCAAAGCTATGCAAGGTGAAACTGCTCCTGCATCACTACTGAGCAGACTGTTTTCCGGAACCACCCCACTCCTTGGTTGCCATAGTTGAGGAGTGCATTTTGGTGTTGTCTACATCATAAACATGTTGGTCAGCCAACAAATGTAAATATTTAACCTGTTTTCTTAGATATAAACCATTTTCTAAAACTCCTTTACCTGGCCAGTCAAATTAGAATCACTCTCGGACCATTTCCAGATTAGATGAATACCACCTGTGACTAAGGCCACAAGAATATTTCCTGCCTGAGCATATGCTAACCTACACACCTGCAATAACCGATTGCAATTTCAATAAGAAGTTCCCTCATTTTTAATTTCAATGAGTCATATTATGAGATTTCAATAATCTAAGAACAATTTCGTACCTTATTTGTCTTCACTTCCGAGGGGAGCCTCAAAGATTGACATCGTGAAATTTGGACGACCTTAGAGGTGCTCGGATTCCCTAATATCTTGTGATGCTCCATCTTTGCCAGGTTTTCTGCTGTCATTTCCTATACAGCACTCAATCAATTTGAGAAGTCACTAAAAAGCTATCTCTATAATTTTGTTAAATATGTTTAGAAAAGGTGGAAACTGAACAAACTAGCATAGATGGAATGGAAATAAATATATCAGAAATAATTGATAACAGAAACATCAGGTTCTTTCTACACGAACCGGAGGGACAATGCCATCAATCGAGCTACTATTAGCAGGACCACTTAGGGAATTGCCTGCAAGCTGTAGAGAACAATAAAAAGGTAAACCATAGCTATTTTCTTTCTTATCTTGATAAAAAAAGTTAAATTTGATATGCAGACCTCTCTTGTAGAAAGATATGTAGAGGCATCCAATGAAGTTTGAAGCAAAATGCGGCCACCATCATTTGCCAAGATTTTGACACTGTTATGATCCACAGAGACAGCCAATAAAGTGCCATTCTTGTTGAATCGAACATATGGACTTGCCTTGATAAAGAAAACGAGAATTTCAGACTGTGTTATACTTCAGAAGTAAGTACAGTTAAAAGAGGGAATTTGCATAAGCATATGTTTATATCAAACCAGCTGCATTTTCTGGTTTTCGTTTTTAAGTATTGACTGATGTTAGTGTCCACTTCAGCAATGACTTAGAAAACAGAGAAAAAAGGGAGAAAACGTTCATCTTTTAGGATTCTGGTAAGATGATTATAGCTAGTAGAGTACATACAGGAAGGTCTCCACCAGCATCGACAACTGTCAAGAGTTGAGCATCATTAACATTCCAAAATTTGATTACATGGGAATCTCCAGCAGCCACATAGTTATTCCTGCTGATATCGAATTCCACAACACCCGAAGAACATTTGCCAAGTCCAAGGTAGGTCCTTACTATGAAACCATCAGTTTCATTCCATTCCACCAAGTGGGAGTCTCCATCTTTATTAGTCCCACATGAAAAAAGCCTACAAGCTTCAAAACTAAATATCCGTCCCAACAAACCAAAAACAAAAAGCAGAAAAGAATGAAATGAGTCTGGTCAATCACCTTTTACCATTAGCACTGTAAAGCATTCTCATGCAACATTTACTAGGAGCCTCGTAAGAAACACATGGTCCCGAGTTTTCATATATCCATGCTTTTATTTCACCATTAGTTGATGTTGATAATATAAACTGAGGCAGAAAAATGAATCAGAATGCTCTAAATATCTATATAATTTTAGAAAGGAGCTTTAGCAGTATAAAGAGGTATAATTACATGAACATCTTCCTTCTCGTGAGGGCAAAGAGAGTAAACGGGGGCTTTATGACCTTCAAAAGTATATTGTTTCGCACCATTGTTAGCATTCCAGACCTTCAAAAAAGCAGTTGAATGTTAGCCAATTTCTCTGTCATGATTTAACCAAATTAGAGTTCCTAATTGTATTTAATTTATTTAACATGTAAACAAACAAACCTTGACCAACATGTCCTCGCCGCACGTTATGACAAGAAGTTGGTTATTTGGCTTAGAAAATGCAAGATCATTTATACTTCCAAAATGAGCCTCAATCTGAGAAAGTAAAATCTCTATCAGAAATAAACACAAACAAAAAAGAGAAGAAGAAATTTTAAGCAAAGATGAATTTGCAAAAAAATACCTCCAGATGGTTTTCAGCATGATTGTCATTATTATGATAACTATATAGTTGAACAATGTTCTTAGAGGATGCAACCCCTGTTCATTTGTTCCAAGTTTAAAGCAATATTAACCAAACCGAGGACCAAATTCAGAAAATAAGTTCCTCTCCAAATCAAATATATGAAGACATACCAAAGAGAGAGCCATCGGGATTCCATAGGACTCGATTTACTGAGATCCTCGGATCTTCACCCATACTTTTCTGAACAGTTATGGCCACCACCTTTAGTTAAAGTAAGAAACTAAGTTTTAAGTTTTAGATATCAGTTATAAGTACTCATACCAGAAAGTCCGGTGAAAAAACCTCTACTTCCCAGATCATTAACGTTCTTCGAAACAACATTTTTCCAGAACTAACATCCCACAGCTCTACGCTTCCACCACCGTCTCCAACTGCAAAATAATATCATCACTAGAAATAAATTTCAGGATTCAAAATCTTTATCACAGATATTTCAGTTTGCGAACTATATTTTCAATGAGAAACCTATCAGAAGTGTCTGTTGAACAGGGTGAAAATCCATTGTGGTTGGATAATAGTTGACCGTCGGATAAATGCTTCTGATTGTTGGATAATCGCTGGCCGTCGGTGGATTGCCAATGGTTAAAACACGTTCAACGGTCTTCGGAAAGTCATCCGAGAGGTTAACCGATGCATCCTGGTCTTGACAAGGAGCAGTTTTGGATAACACTTTCTGCATGAATATAAGTACTCAAGGAGTTCAAATTTACTGATATGCAAATAAACCATCAAATGAGGACATGCTCTTAAACTGGGAGAATAGAATGACTGTGTGTTCAAAGTACATCACCTCGTTCATATTCCTTGTAGTGTTTACATCAGATAAATTACCAGAATCCTGAACAGCCTTCGAAGTAGAAGCTAATAAGAACAGCCAACACAAAAAAGTCAAGAGCGACACTATTGTTTATTAATATATAGTACTCTACAACTGCATGGTAAGTTTCCTGAAGCAGCAGCCTCACCAGAAGCTATGTCATCAGTTACAATGGAAGAACTAGAATAATGTATTTGTTGACAATCTGGGTTTGCAGACGATATGGTTTTGCTAGGCTGAGGAAGAAGGATTCAAACATTAGTGGAAAATGTCTTCAATGTGAAGTAATGCTATAATCTAATCAACTGTTCAGAATAAGTTACCCTTGGCATTTGCGTAAACGACTGATCTGGATTAAACGCCGATGTAGTTTCGCTAGGCTGAGGAAGAAGGATTCAAACATTAGTGGGTAATGTCTTCAGCAGATGTGAAGCCTATAATCTAATAAACTGTTCAGAATAAGTTACCCCTGGCAATTGCGTAAACGACTGATCTGGATTTGAAGCCGATGTAGTTTCGCTAGGCTGAGGAAGAAGGATTCAAATATTGTGGGTAATGTCTTCAGCAGATGTGAAGTAATGCCTATAATCTAATAAAATCTTCAAAATAAGTTACCATTGGCATTTGCGTAATCGACTGATCTGGATTTGAAGCCGATGTAGTTTCGCTAGGCTAAGGAAGAAAGATTCAAACATTAGAGGGAAATGACTTCAGCATATGTGAAGTTAATGACTATAATCTAATAAACTCTTCAAAAATAAGTTACCCTTGGCATTTGCACAACCGACTGATCTGGATTTGAAGCCGATGTGGTTTCGCTAGGCTGAGGAAGAAGGATTCAAAACATTAGATGGAAATATCTTCAGCTGATGCGAAGTAATGCTACAAAACTCTTCAAAATAATTTACCTTTGGCATTTGTATAATCAACTGATCTGGGGTTGTAGCCGATATGGTATTGCTAGGCTGAGGAAGAAGGATTCAAACATTAGTGGGAAATGTCTTCCGCAGATGTGAAGTAATGCTATTATCTAATATTCTCTTCAAAATAAGTTACCCTTGGCATCTGTGTATCCGGCTGAGCTGGGGTTGCAGCCGATATGGCTTTGCTAGGCTGAGGAAGAAGGATTCAAACATTAGTGGGAAATGTCTTCCGCAGATGTGCAGTAATGCTATAATCTAATAAACTCTTCAAAATAAGTTACCCTTGGCATCTGTGTATCCGGCTGAGATGGAGTTGCAGCCGATATGGCTTTGCTAGTCTGAGGAAGAAGGATTCAAACATTAGTAGGAAATGTCTTCCGCAGATGTGAAGTAATGCTATAATCTAATAAACTCTTCAAAATAAGTTACCCTTGGCATCTGTGTATCCGGCTGAGCTGGGGTTGCAGCCGATATGGCTTTGCTAGGCTGAGGAAGAAGGATTCAAACATTAGACGGAAATGTCTTCCGCAGATGAAGTAATGCTATAATCTAATAAACTCTTCAAAATAAGTTACCCCAGGCATTTGCTTAACCAACTGAGCTGGGGTTGCAGCCGATATGGCTTTGCTAGGCTGAGGAAGAAGGATTCAAACATTAGACGGAAATGTCTTCCGCAGATGAAGTAATGCTATAATCTAATAAACTCTTCAAAATAAGTTACCCCAGGCATTTGCTTAACCAACTGAGCTGGGGTTGCAGCCGATATGGCTTTGCTAGGCTGAGGAAGAAGGATTCAAACATTAGACGGAAATGTCTTCAGCAGATGCAAAGTAATGCTATAATCTAATTAACTCCTCAAAATAAGTTACCTTTGGCATTTGCATAATCGACTTATCAGGGGCTGCAGCCGATATGGTATTGCTAGGCTGAGGAAGAAGGATTCAAACATTAGTGGGAAATGTCTTCCGCAGATGTGAAGTAATGCTATTATCTAATAAACTCTTCAAAATAAGTTACCCTTGGCATCTGCGTATCCGACTGAGCTGGGGTTGCAGCCGATATGATTTTGCTAGGCTGAGGAAGAAGGATTCAAACATTAGACAGAAATGTCTTCAGATGCGAAGTAATGCTATAAAACTCTTCAAAATAATTTACCCTGGGCATTTGCAAAACCAAATGATCTGGGGTTGCAGCCGATATGGTTTGGGTAGGCTGAGGAAGAAGGATTCAAACATTAGTGTGTGAAGTAATGCTATAACACAATAAACTCTTCAAAATAAGTTACCCCTGGCCTTTGCATAATCGATTGATCTTCAGGTATGGAACACTTGTGATCAATGAAGAGTGTTTTGATCTCCGGTTCTTGCTGAGGATTTGCACAATGAGCATGCTGCCAGTTCAAGCTGTATATATTGAAATGATATCAGCTCTTTGCAAACATCCATAAAAGGTATAAATAGGAAACTAAGACAGTATCGAGTGCATCATACGAATGAAACGAGGGGATAAAAAAGGCTAAATTAGATTATATTGTAGTGGGTGGAGTTTCAAATAGTCACCGCTCAGCTGAATATAAATACGCAGATTTCAGAAAAGAGAAAATAGCAAGATAAAACCTTTGATTAATTAGACGGCGCAATCTTGACTTGGTTAATTCTGGAAAGTGGAGTTTTCCATTTAACTGGGGGTTTGTTTCAATGACAACCCTAAGTATCTTCATTATGCGGTTCCTAGCAGTTAATGTGTCTCCATATAAAGCAAGTGAAGGATGTTCTCTGTAGACAGAAATTAACAATAAAAGTTTCTATTCATGCACGCCCTTGTACAATTTTATATGACGGACAGATAATTAGTATAACCTAACCTGAAGTTATCGAATGTAAGAAGCTGAGTCATCTCAGCATAAAGCTCTTTATTTGTCTCGGCAAACACTTGAAGGTCTTTCATAAGGATCTCAAGAGCAGTTTTACGATCTTGCCTATCACCAAATCATTATATATATAAGAACTTTGTCTAAAGAGCAGCTTGACAATAATGCATATATTACATCTGAATTATGATTACCTGTCGAGTGCCTCAAGGAACTTCTGTTTCCTAATCTCGAAAAACATTTTTTTAGAATATCTGCTTTCAGTGACACCAGTGAAACCTGAAAGATAGTTCTCAATTTCATCCCACTTGCCACCGAGAACGAGAGCTTCAATATGTCCCATGTCAAAGAATAACTCTGACTCCTGCCCTAACCTATTTCACAATTTAACAAGTCAGATAAAATTGTATCTTATTCTTATACGCGTCCACTGAATAGAAAGACTGAAATAAGATGGAACGCACATGCGAGCAGTTTTCGTGAAGTTCTCCTCTTTGCAGAATTGCAATATCAAGAATATAAGGTCCTTACTAAGAGACATAGCCAAATGTTTTCTTTCTTGCCTTCAAAACCTTCAGATAATCAGAGAGATCAGTAAGAAGCATACGACATGTAGAACCACAGTAGCTTTTGTTTAGGCCTTGTAAACCTACGACAGTGAACTCAATTATTATCGTATATCTTTGTTAAATTCAAATTATATAACGAGTAACTACATTTGACCTCATTCCTTCCTCAAACAGATAGGTAGGCACCACAACGACTCAGTCAATAAGCTTTCCATTTCCCTTATATAAAGGAAAATGAGGCAGAATTTTTTTAGAGGGACCAAAAAAATTCACAAGACGAAGTAGAATAATGGAGGAACAATCTCAAAAGATGCACAAAAATGCCAAAAATCTTGTATCAAGAATCAAGTGCTTTCTACGTCATCTCATACCTTCTAATTGGTATTTATCTCCAAAATTCTCGAAGATACACATACAAGGTTTGCTTGTTACTAATATAATCGAGCCTCTCTTCTTCTTTAGATCCCTCGTTTCACTCGATCCAGAGTCAAGAATATTCAAACATCACAATCTAATGAACAACAAGGTTTACTTATGAAATGAATGTGGAATGTAACGGAAAATTAAATACAAACAAAATCGGTAACAACAAGAAAAACATCAACTTTTATGTCTAGATTAGCATCTTACACAAAAGGATACATAGATGTTAGAACGATTAATACACAAATCACAATTCTCCACTTCAATTCAATTCCATCACAAATCAAAACTAAAAAAAAAAGAGAAACATTTCTTTTCTGCGGATTAATCAATGCCAAAACAAATAAAAAAGAAACAGAGAAGATTAAATCAAATACAATTCAGAGAATTGTAAAACCCGTTTCATCGATCAAATCAAAAAAAAATAAATTCACAAAAGTTTTTGAAGATAGAAAAATGTAAGTTTTATTCTAAAAAGGGAAAACAGCGGCTTACCTGTCTGCAGTGCAGTGCAGTGCTGTGCTGTATAAAAGAATTGAGGAAAGTTGGCTATACTTCCTTCCTTTTTATAGCTAATAAAAATAGACTATAAGTCAGTTGCCTTATTATTATAAGTGACTTCACTTATCATGACAAAACCAGCTACATTTTCTATCGCTTTCAAATAGAATATTACTTCCCCATTCTGCGTTTTTTAAATTATTTTTTAATAATATTTTAATATTAACAAGACCTAAAATATAGGGTAAGAGAAAAGTAGGTGGTAAGACTTATTAGGAAAATTAATAAAGTAATAAGATTTTTAAAAATTAAGTAATCATAAAATATATTGGTAAACACTCTATACTCCCTCGCCCACTTTTAATTGTTTTCTATTTATAGAGTCATATCATAAGAACTTTGATTAATATTTTAAGTTATATTTTTTCATCATATTAATATACAAAAGAATAACAATTTATAGTACTTTTTATATAGTTTATGAATATCTAATTTTTTTGTTTAAAATATTAAATTAATTGTAATTTAATTTAACTTTGAAAATTAATCAAATTGACTTTCGAAAAATACAACATGACAAATTAAAGTCGACGGGGGAGTAACTAATAATTTGTCTGAGATAATATTTTTCTTTCTCTGATCCTGACTTGGATCGATGAAAATAATCACTCATTTTGATAAGATAAATTTTGAGAAGACTTATATAAACATGTGGTCCCATTAAAATTATATATAAATATTCTGCAAAAGTACAAATATATCTTTCACAATTTAGTGAATATAGTTCTATTGTGTTTTTTTTGTTCAAATTTAAATGTAGTTGAAACTCATCTATAACTTTTTTTATTGCATCTAAAAGTTTCAGTATTGCCATAACTAAAATTATTTTGAGTGCATGTCGAATGATTCTTTTGTATTCACTTAATGGTTTACGCATTTGATATGTCGTTGTTGATTTTGTGAAACCTTTTAAATGAGAAGTCATTTTTGAATATGAATTAAAGAAATTTCTATATATATTGCTTATATAGTTTATTTTTTCACCATCATACCTGGAATATTTTTAGTAAAGATACATTGAATAATATTTGATTATTAAGAAACAATGAATATTATGTAGAATGAATTTACTTTTACAAAGAATCATTGAATTCTTGAATTTATTTTACGGTGATTTATTTAACAAAAATATTTATTACAATGAATGATCATACACATACATGTACTTTATGTATGATGAATTTTTTTTTATGAAATTAACAAAGACAACTTTCATTGAATTTACTTTTACAAAGAATCATTGAATTCTTGAATTTATTTTACGGTGATTCATTTAACCAAAATAGATATTACAATGAATGATCATACACATAAATGTGTTTTATGTATAACAAATTTATTTTTTTATAAATTTAATAAAGAGCAATTTTCATATATAACAAACAGAAAAATCATATTTGTATGTTATAACTATAGTTTGCATAATTGTGTTCCATAGCAAGCTTTATGTTTGATATGGTTATTAATATGTATATTTCTCTACACATATACAAAAGAAGCAATTGTATAATTTGTTTCGTTGTATACATACATACATACATATATATACATACATAGATACATATATGTATGTATGTATGTATGCATATGTATGTATGTATGCATATATATGTATGTATGTATGTATGTATGTAGAATCATTGTATAATTTTTGTTTGTATAAAGAGAGAAAAAGAGAAAGACAAAAGATAGCTGGATAGGGCAAGATCATTTTTGTATAATCATAAGTGTATAGGACGAAAATATATGTATTTGTATCTGTATATACAATTTTCTCTCGTTTTATACAAACACAAACACAATGTATACATTTGTGTTTGTATGAAATGAGAGAGGTGAGTGAGATCTGGGAACTAGAGTGGCAAGCAAGATATAAGAGAGGAAAACGAAAATATATGCATATATACAATTCTCTCTCGCTTTATACAAACATAATTTTTTTATACATTTGTGTTTGTATAAAAGCGAGAGAGACGAGTGAGATTGCCCAGCGAGAAAAAGAGTGGCGAGCGAGATTCACCAGGGAGAGGCGAAAAAACAACAGTTTGCTATGGGGTATAATTAAATCAAACCATGATTATAACATTTAATCTGAATTAACAGTTTGCTATAGTATACAATTTTTCCTTGAATAAATATGATACATAATTTAGTAAGATACAATGATTTTGATGTATTCATTGTACTTTATGTATAATAAAATTATTTTTCGTGTGAATCTAATGAATATAATACATAAATTAGTCTGATATAATAATTTAAGCTTTATTAAATTTCAAAACACACTTAAAATTGATAAATATTAGCTTATGATTAAATAAGATATCTACAAAATAATGATATTCAATGGTCCATTATGTCTTAATTTAGTGAGGTTTTAATGTTATATGGTAAGAACACATAATTATTATTTTTTGTCAAATTTTGCCCATGTTAAGTTTCCGATGTGTACTTAAATAATTATGTATTTATGTAAATAAAAATATTTTATCACAAATTATATAGACAAAAACTTCTATAAAATAAGTAAATTTCATGATTTAAAGAAAATGATTTAGTAGTACAACTATCATATTGTTGGCCTCTTTGGTACATGACTTTCAGTTTGCTTTCATCGCAACTTCAGCTATTGTTTTTTCATGGTAATTGTAATGACCTTCATTGTGATTTGTTTGTTTTTGTGTTCATTTTCCATTTTGCCCCTTTTCATAGATTGTATGATGTGTATATAATGTGTTGGGATGGATCACACGCTTTTCAAGGTGGCCAGAAGAGTTTTAGGTGAGTTTTTCCCGTCTTGGAACTTTGATTTCGAAAGTGTTGACTTTGGTCAACATTTGAAGAATCTTACATCGTATATGTTTTACATTAGCTTCAATGATCTATTTTGTGTTAGTAGCATTATCGGTTTAATTTAGGTATCAAGGCTTTCGAGGTGATTTTGAGACGTTAGGTGAGATGTTTTGAAAGTTTGATAAAGGATTGACTTCGGTCAATATTCTTGGTAGACATGCTTAGATGATATTTTCATAAGCGACATTAGCTTCGGTGTGTTGAGTTTGATCTAGAATTGTCACGCCCCAAGACTATCTCTAGATGTGATACTATGCTTAAAGCTAAAAGTGACCCCAAGCTAACCTCATGACATGACACCAAAAATCACCATAAAATAATACTGAAGATAACTGGATATGAAAGCTAATTGAAATATCTAAAATATTAATAGACGAATGACGAAGCATATCTAAACTGATTCTATGAAAAATCTCTAATCATTTGAATTGCTATGACAAACTCCTAATTAAATCTAACTGTCTCTAAGAAAAGTCTTTAATTATATGAATTGCTAGGACAAACTCCTAGATAAATCCAACCATCTAAAAACTTAAAGTAAATCACTAAAAGAAACATAAGGTGTTGTTGGAGAGATGAGAACTCACCAAACACGATTGCTAGTTGATTAGAGATAGCCCTAACTATGGGTTGAATACTAAATATCAGGACTTATATAATCAAATAACGTAAGCAAAAAGTATGTGCGGTCAGTACTTTGAATGTAATGAGTGTGAGGTATATGCATATAAACATGATATATGAACATACTGAATTTGTAAAATGCGCTAATGAAGTAACCAAGTAAAATAACATGAAACTAAGATATACTGAACTGAAAGATATAAGTACAAGATCATGCAATAACTAGAAGTCCGACGCTAAGAGATACTTGTTGTGACAAAAAAGATGAAACCAAAAATCTAACAATAAAGAACACCAAGTTTAACGTAGAAAAACCCTTCAAACCGAAGGTAACCACCACGGGATCGACAAGATTTGAATTGCTTCATATACCAATCAGAGGGTTGCAAATATTCTTCTAATGGCTACACAACAAGTGCCAAAAGAGAACAAACAATAGCTACACCAACAAAAGATAAATAGTAAGAAACACCACCCAAACCTAGCTTCTGTTTGAGACCTAAAACAGGATCTTGATGACCTCCAAATCCGATCTCCACCATTCAAATCAACCACCAAGATGTCAGAAACACTCAGTTCAAATTTCAGCCCGATCCAACTGTTAGTTAATCAGGAAACACGATCTGAACGTTGCTGGTCGGAGAAAAAGACTACAGCAAAAGAACCCTTTTCTTTCTCTCTTTTCTCTTGTTGAAAGCTCTCTCAAAAACCTCGCTTATTTTCTAATGTCTTTCAAAGACAATACCAATTAGCAATTAATTATTCTCTCAATAGCATCCCCTATTTACAGAATTGTGCTTTTCCTTACAAAGCCAAAACCAACTACAAATAGGATTACTATTCCAATTTCTTTCCTAATAGAATTGGAAACCAAATAAAGAGAATAATTCCAATCCTTTTTCAAGTAGGATTAGGCCATGGGCCTTTGGTTGGAACATGAGAAATAACCCAACAAACTCCCTCTCCATCCAAGGGGCCAAATGGACTTCAAGTGGAGGATCTCTTGACAGGCTTCCGGCCTGCCACACTTTTACAAAACTCATAATTGTCTATGATGAGTTCTTTCCACTTATTTCTACGAGTATCTAACATGACTTCATCATAACCTTCAGGTTCTCCCATATTAGTCAATAGAATATACTCATCATGAGAATAATGTGTTGAGC